GGCTTCGTTTAGGCCCCACTTTCCTTCGTTATTTACAATTTACGCATGGTGTTCTTCTATGGTATACGAGTATCATTTTCAAGGCTCATGCCGAATAGGCTCCTCTGTTAGACGGGGTAGTTTACAATCTTCGGTGTATGAAATATATAATTGCCTAATTAGGTAATGTAAGTGAAAAAGTAATTTTCCTAAAAAGGATTCATATCGAACCGATCGCCTAATTAGGAAAAGACAATATATTGAATTATTGCAACAAATTTCAAGATGCATTGCAATCGTAGTCATTACAAGTGATGGGATTGTTGGAATATATAATGACAATAAAATCGAATAAAATTGAATCGTGGAATTTGAAACATTCTAAAAAAAAACAAATTCTGATTTAAAAATCTCGGTTGTTCAATAGGTGCAAAGAAGCCGTTTCGTATATTCGAAGACATAACTATCAACAAATACTGATAGAAAACAGTGATCAGTGACTCATTACTTCTTTATAATAATTTATTTGGCACCAATAGCCTTATTAGCATCAATAGGTTCCATATCATAGCTCTACCGGGGTTCTAGTCATAAGAGATGAAATTTTCGCAATCGGTCTTACTTTCATTGATAGGCAGTATAGCCACTGCTTCAGCTGCTGACTCTAACAACTTGCGTGCTGAAAAAAGAATGGTCCAGTATGTGACCAAGATTACTACGGTTCAGATTCCATTGGCAGATTATTTAGCAGGTAAACAGACTACTCAACAAGCTGTCACTACACAAGTCGCAACCACTGCTGCTACTGTTGCTTCGAATACTCAATCTAAGAGCAGAGGAGGTTTGCTTGGATTCTTAGAAGGTTTATTTGATAATGGTGATAGCCAATCAGCCACCACCACATCAGCAAATAATGATGGTGGTTCATTCGGAAGTCCAAGTACTACTTCGATAGGAACTAATACTTTATCTACCGCAACATCTTCACAAGATTCTCCCTTATTTCCAATCTATACCGCATCAAGTTCGTCCGATATTACATCCCCTAGTTCAAGTTCTGGTACGGATTCAGATTCGGACGGATCGTTTGCAAACAACATAGCTGCTGCCAAAGGTGCTAAAGGTGTTACTTACTCGCCATATACTAAAAGCGGATCTTGTAAGACTGCAAGTGAGGTTAAGAGTGATATTGCAAAGTTGTCTAGTTTCTCACTTATCAGACTATACAGTACTGACTGTGATGGAATTGAAAATATATTAGCCTCGATGACCTCGTCACAAGAGTTATTCTTAGGAATTTACGAAATTGATACCAATACCATTACCAGCGGATTAAAAACCATCAAAAGTGCAGTCGAGTCCTCCTCTCGTGGCTGGTCTGCGGTTCATACCATTTCTATTGGTAACGAAAGAGTAAATGACGGAAAATCCACGGTATCTGATCTTGAAACTGCCATTGATACTGCCAAAACTTGGTTATCAGCCAATGCTCCACAATACAGTGGTTATGTCGTGACTGTTGATACGTTAGTTGCGACTGTCAACAATCCGGGATTGTGCAAGATTTCTGATTATCTTGCTGTTAACGCACATCCATACTGGGATGGTGGAGTTGTTCCTTCTAACTCGGGTTCGTGGTTACAACAACAAATCTCTAATTTGGAGAGCGCCTGTGGTTCATCCGACATTTTAATCACTGAGACAGGCTGGCCAACACAAGGTGATACATTTGGTTCTTGTGTCCCTTCTATTCCTAATCAGCTTGCTGCTATCAAGAGTATTATGAGCAAGTTCTCAGATCAAGTATTCATGTTCACTATGTATAATGACTACTGGAAAGACCCAGGTCCATCTAATGTTGAACAACATTGGGGAATCTTTGGTAATCCTTCCGCATAGATGAGATATAGATTTTTCTTGGTGGTCCTTTCAATTCTTATTTGTTTAATTAATCTTTAAATTTATACCATAAATATGCATATATTTAATTCCTAAATATCTGGAATATGAAGTTGCAAAATGTAGATTTTTTTCTTATTTATTTGATTTTAAATATATCAGTAGCCATATATGAAAGTTTGCCGTTTATAAGTCTGTTCAGCTATAATTGATGGTGTTGATTATGGTAATTTAGATATTACAACAAATTCTGCAAAAAACCAAAAAAATGACTATTTTACAATAAATTTCTAGAACATCCCATTCAATTGAAAAACCCTACAATACAATATATAAAATTTTATCTTTTCCTACGTCTACACTTACCAAATGATGGATTTCAGTCTATTATTCCTGTTCACTTCTTCGTGAATTATTGTTAGGCCTAGTTATAGTGATCAGTTATATACAGTATCATCGGAAACATTTTTTGAGTCGATCGCGAACGCTTCAACACCGCAAGTTAGATATCAACAAATAACCAAAATATATCCTCAGAATTTGATAGATTAAAGGCAATGTCAAGTGAAAAAGAAAGGAAAAAGTTGGCGAATAAGCTCCAACCTTTATATGATGGGATATATTCGTTGAAAGATTCCCAAGGAAGGGAAATTTCGGAGACATTTCAAAGATTACCTTTGCGTACTGGTACCGATTATTATAAAGTCATTAAAGTTCCAGTGTCATTACACGGTGTCGGAAGATATATTAAGAAATATGTATATCGAACAGCGCAAGAGTTTGTTACACAATTAGTTCAAATAACGTGGAACGCTAGGTTATATAACGTGAGAACTTCGCTAATATATGACCACGCATTAATCTTAAACCAATATATCTTGGATAAGGTTATCCCAAAGTTATCTAATGACAAATCTATTAGCGATCATAATATGATTTATTATCCGGATTTAGGACCTTTACCTGAAGATGATGGGTCTATTCCTAATATGGGAGCATCGTACAAACCTAGCACTCATTATCCTGAAGAGGAAGATGATGGTGACGATGACGAGGAAGAAGAAGATGAAGAATATACCGAATATGGTTCGGGTGGTCAATCGTCGTTGAAGAGCTCGATTTATGCTCAACCAAATGATCACCATTACCACGCGTTATTGGCTAACAATGCGTTGACCAATAAATTACAGATGGGAGACCAATCACCATCACCATTTCAATCACCTCAAACTTCCAGACCTTTGGAATCGGGGATCAGAAGAGGACGTCCACCCATAATCGACAAGCCTTATGAAACGCGTATTAAATTGATCTTGAAGCACTTTAAGAAATTGCGCCATCCTAATGACCCAAACCATCCATTGTCGATTCATTTTGACAGGTTGCCTGATCCAAAGACCAACTCAAACTATTACCAGGTTATTAAACATCCAATCAGTTTGAATGAAATTAGGACAAAAGTTAGAACCAGGAAATATCATAATGTTGATGAATTTATTGGCGATTTAAATTTAATGTTTCAAAATACCAAATTTTATTTCTCCAATGACCAGTTATCTCCAACATTTCAAGATTGCCTTCTTTTTGAATCAGAAGCAAATAACGTTATAAATTACGAATTACTGAGGCCCGAGAAGGATTTGTTGATTGCAAGTACACCTGGGGGTGATGGTATCATCAGAATACCATTAGATTCGATTGATGTTAATGGGTATAGCTATAAAATTGGTGATTGGGTTCTTATTGATAATCCGAGCGATCCAAATAAGCCAACGGTTGGCCAGATCTTCCGTTTATGGTCCACCGAGGATGGGACCAAATATACTAATGTTTGTTGGTATTATCGTCCAGAACAAACTTGTCATAGATATGATAGATTATTTTTTATGAACGAAGTTTGCAAGACTGGACAATATCGTGACCATTTAGCTTCTGAAATTGTTGGGCCATGTTATGTCATTTTCTTAACACGTTATCAGAAGGGTGATTTACCTGAAGGAGTGATTCCAGAAGGATGTCCATGGTTTATTTGTGAATTTAGATATAATGAAAATTCTCATGTTTTTAACCGTATTAGAACTTGGAAGGCATGTTTACCTGATGAAATAAGAGACAAACCTGAACAACCATTAATTCCATTAAACGAACCACGTAAATTAATTAAGTTTGAATCTCCAATTAAAAATCTATTACCAAATGGTGTTGATACTACAATGGCGATTCCTGATGCGACGCCTGGTCCAAACCCAAATACACCACCTATTGTCGGCCTGGTTTATTTAAGAGAACCGATTGAAGATGATGAATTAGGTCAATATTCCACCAGTCCCAACGTTATTTCTAGTCCCGAAAATGATGAACACATGTCTAATCGTAGGGCCTATATTTTTACACCAATTCTGCAAATGAAAATGGCTAATTCCTTCCCAGCAAGTTACAGTGGCAATAACAGTGGCATAAGCACTCCGATCCAATATAATTCTAATATTATTGCTAACAATTTGCAAGAATCAGATCTAGATAAGTCTTATACTTCCAGCGTTAATAGATACAGACAACTTCTTCAGCAGCAACAACAACAGCTCCAGCAAAATCAGCATGAAAAAGCTGTAAATAGAGTTGAGTCTAGAAGAGGGTTTACACCCACTGCTTCGACCATTCCTCTTACGACTCAACACGCAGGACCATCTTACCATACTTCCACTTCAACATATTCTAATTTAATAACAGGAGGTATTGTTTCATACTCTCTTGTCGATGATGGGAATAAATTATCTAGAGTTAGTGATGCGTTAAACATCAAAAGAAGAAAGTTGGAAGCAATGGAAGAAGTAGCTGGAAATGAAATCGTGTGGTATAGAGCACCTCCAGTTGCAGTTTCCAATAGAATTCTCAGTAACGATATAACCGATTTAGGTCATTCGGCTCAGTATATTGCTTGGAAGTTAAAACAAGAACATTAGTGTATATTTAAATAGTTTGTATAAATAATTGATTTCAATGGTTAAATTATTATTGAGCACTCGCGCATACTGATTAACGATAAAAGTTCAAAAATATCTTCACGACCTTATCATCTTATCATCCTTCGTAAGATAGATTTATGCATCATATTGACTGTTATGAGTAAGCAATTAATCGAATTTCAAGACCATTTGATGAATTCCAAGCGAATAGTGGCATTGGTGGGAGCTGGATTGTCTGTATCTTCCGGTTTGCCTACATTCAGAGGATCTCAAGGGCTTTGGAAAAATTTCAATATGATTGATTTAGCAACACCAGATGCATTTTATATAGATCCAGGATTGGTATGGCAGTTTTACTCTTGGAGGAGAATCAATGCATTGAAAGCCAAGCCAAATAAAGGACATTTAGCATTAGCAAAATTATCAAAATTGAATAATATAGAATTTATGACAATAACCCAGAATGTGGATGGACTACTGATACGAGCTGGACACCCTAAGGAAAAATTGCATGAGATACACGGATCATTATTTGATTTGCGATGTACTAGCTTCATGTGTAATTACGTTGATCATGACAATTTCAAGAACCCATTAACTAAAGCATTGGCTGATACAGAATTTGAATACGATAAAAGTGGCAGAAAGAGAAAAATAATTGACGAAGAAGAGGTAAGTAAGTTATCGCCGCAGTTTGCACCAGTTAAACAAATACCAGAAGAAGAATTACCTCAATGCCCTGTATGTGAAGATGGGTCATTATTACGACCTGGGGTTGTGTGGTTTGGAGAGTCTTTGCCACTTCAAACATTTGATAAGATAGATAATTTTATAGAGCTGGATAAGATAGATTTAATTTTGGTAATAGGGACAAGTGGTACGGTATATCCAGCCAATAGTTATGTTGATAGAATTAAATTAAAAGGAGGGAAAGTTGCAATATTCAACACTGATATCGAATCAGAGATTTTAAATGCCGAAGAGAAGGATACTTGGGGATTCCAAGGAGATGCTGCAGAACTATTGCCAATAGCATTAAAACCACTAATTGGTGATTTATAAACTAGACATATGTACTGCAAGAATGAAAGTAATTTGGGCGACGATATGGCATATGTATGTACAGTTACAACACAGGGTTAAATTAAATGTACTCTATTTAATATAATAAGGGATTGAAAAATTAAGCAAGCTCGTTAAGATCATGATATATAATAATACAAATGATTATTGATATACATAAATAATAGTACAGAAATAAATTCCTCCGATACGATCAAATGAAAAATGTCACCAGCCATAGTTCTACTCAATCGAAAGGATAATAGTCATTAAAATTTATCTTGTTGTCGACGCTAAACATATCTGAATTCTCCTGCGACAAAAAATAATCAAAGTTGAAGTCATCGAATTCATTGTCATTTAAAGATAAAATGGAATTAAAGGATGATAGGGATGCATCAGAAATGGATGGGTCCGGATGCTCATCCTCATAAACCAGGAGTTGCATATCTGATTTAGTAGAAATCTTACGCTTCTTGTGACACATATTTGTAGCATCTGAAGAATCGCCCAATTGAGGTGTATTGTCAAAGTTGAAATTAAATGAAGAGACCGTAGGAATAGATGGCATTGACTTTACTCCCCTGGTGTTGGAAGGTTTGTAGAAAGGGTTACCAACATAACTGTTGAAGGATGCAACACCTGAAGCACATTTGCTGCTAGAATGGCATTTTGGCGATGTTGGAGATGAGAGATGCTTGGGTTTCGCAATCGTATCAATTGACTCGATTGTAACAGAAGGTTTCAATGGAGGTCTCATCTTGGATACTTTACCAAAAGACTTGGATGCTACCCTACTAGTAGGTGATATACTTTGCTGAGAATTGTTAAGTAACTCAAAGGCACTGGTTCGGTCCGCCTCAAATCTGTTCGTATGCTTATCAAGTAAAGGGGATGATAAAGCAATCTCCTTCTTGGTACTAGAAACCGATTTTGCTCTTTGTTTTCTAGCACTATTGGTACAATTATGGTACTTATTCAAGACCTGATTGTATGCTTTCATATACTGAATATCGAATTCTTCAAGTGAATCTTCAACATTGAATATATTCATATCTATCTCAGCAACGATCTTTCTCAATAATAAATAAACCAAGTACTGACACTATTTCAAATAGCCCCAAATGTCCAATACAAAAAATATCCTTGCTTTTTAAAAAGCATATATATATATAAGTAAGATTGATATCTCTGACTAATGTAATAGCAAACTGTTAGAACAACCTTTCGTTTATTGAAAAGGAAATATTACCTAATTCGCAGCTATTGTTCGATGTTCAATTATCTCAAACTGTTAGATAAACTGACAATAGTATTCATATGAAAAAGTATCCACAGACATATATATATAATAGAACAATAAAAAAGGAATAAAATATTCTTATGACTACCGCAGTCAAATTGCATCACACTATGATGCAAATCGTACAATTAAGAAGGGTTAACTGTGGGTTAATTGATGATGGGAAGGAACCTTATATCTATCTTTCACAATTGAATCGCAGGTGGCTCCCTTGTCATACTATTGTCATACATATATCAGGTCTAAATTTTTGACCATTACGTGAAGTGGCTATCTCATTTCCTACTCCACGTACATTAAAGTTATTTTACATGCACAATCACCAAGCACGTTTGATTGAGTTTCCCGTCTTATACGCAACGCAATGTGAAACTACTGTAAGACACAGTTAACATACGGGCTACGTGTTACAGTTTACCAATAAAAACTCAGCTAGTATTTAGTCTTTTGTGTACCGCATCATCCATTGTTCACAATCACAAAATAAGCTTTATGGAGATAACACTGTTATGAGATTGCAGTATAAAAGGGTGATGCCTTTCGATAACGGATATTTTTTTGTGCTAAAAATATGGTAATAATATAGCATCCCCTCCTGTGATCTAGTTTCTCGCCTTACAAGGATCAGAGATCTAAGTGTAGATAGCTGAAAAAATAGGGTACTCTTCAGTGGTCAAAGATGGTCTGGGCCCGTAGATGTAGAAACGAAGTGCGGGTGTTTTTTATCATAGCAATGAACGAACAGGGAATATGGCCGTACGGATTATCGCATGTTGCAGCAGCTGAGACAAAGGTTGGGTTTCAATATGTTTAAACTGCTGGTACCGAACCTTTCTTGTTTATATTATCCGTGCCAAATACGACCTGATAATGCCTATTATTAGTCTGGAGTCTTCAAGCCGTATTAATCTCAGACAAAAGGCAGAGACCCCGTATCATGCCTCGTGACACATGATGGTCATAGTCGCAGACTGCAACAGCATATATTCTTGTCTCTTAAAGTTGCAAGCACAGATTATTATGACCAGGTAACTTAAAATTGATTGAAGAGGGTGAATGGTGACGAAAGGGTTGTAATTGTTTACAATTTGCAGCTATAGGCAAAAATCTAAGTTGCGGCAGTCATCAAATCTCGAAAATCAGCTTTCGCTACTTAAGCTTTAACTTACGGCCTTACGGCTTTATGAAAAATAGTATATATTACGTCTCTGTGGAGGTTGCAAAGGACCCTACTTGCTGTATGTGATCTCCATGTTCATCACCTACAATTTTGCATCCCAAATAGTATTCCATAAACGGCATCCCGGACTTGCTGCGGTCATGGTAATGGCTTCTTACCAAGAAACAAAGGTGGGAATAAATGGTGAAGTTCAGAGTCTCGTTCGCCACCATTTCTCACTTATAGAAGCATCATGAAGTTGTCAACCCCGTTCAACAGACCCATCCGTGTGCTCCCAGTGGCCTGGACGGAGTCAAAATGGGTGTCCCGGGACTAGTAGGAATGGTCGTGCGACGGACCAACTTCGGACCAACATCAACCATAATTTCATTTTTAAAGGCCTTACAGGCCAATAAGCTTCAATATTTCTAGTAGATTCATATATCAAATAGAAACAATATGTTAAGAAGTTCCAGTAGTTTCAGAGGCCTCAGCAACAAGGCAATTAAAATTGCCCAATTTGTTAGACATGCTTCCACGCAAGAATTCGATGTCGTCGTGATTGGTGGTGGTCCAGGTGGTTACGTTTCGGCTATCAAAAGTGCCCAATTAAACATGAAGACCGCATGTATAGAAAAAAGAGGTTCGTTAGGTGGTACTTGTTTAAATGTTGGTTGTATTCCATCCAAGTCTTTATTGAACAACTCCCAATTATACCATCAAATTCAACATGACTCCAAGCACAGAGGTATTGAAATTTCAGGAGATGTTTCCATCAATATCGACACCTTGCAAGCTGCTAAGGACAAGTCTGTCAAGGGTTTGACCGGTGGTGTTGAAATGTTGCTTAAGAAGAACGGTGTTAGTTACTTCAAGGGTGAGGGTTCATTTATTGACGAAAACAATGTCAACGTGAAGCCAATTGACGGTTCTGAAGACATTCAAATCAGTGCTAAGAACATTGTTGTTGCCACTGGTTCCGAACCAACTCCTTTCCCAGGTATCGAAATTGACGAAGAAAGAATTGTTTCTTCCACTGGTGCCTTGGAGTTAAAGGAAGTCCCAAAGAAGATGTCTATCATCGGTGGTGGTATCATTGGTTTAGAAATGGCTTCTGTGTGGTCCAGATTAGGTTCTGAAGTCACCGTCATTGAATTCCAAAACGCCATTGGTGCTGGTATGGACGGTGAAGTCGCCAAACAAATCCAAAAGTTATTGGCCAAGCAAGGATTGAAATTTAAGTTAGGCACAAAGGTTACCAAGGGTGTTAGAGATGGTGAAACCGTCAATATCGAAGTTGAAAATGTCAAGTCCGGAAAGAAGGAAGACTTAGATGCTGATGTCTTATTGGTCGCTATTGGTAGAAGACCATTCACCAACGGATTAAACTTCGACAAGATTGGCTTAGAAGCTGATGACAAGGGAAGATTGGTTATTGATAACCAATTCAGAACCAAGCATGAACATATCAGAGTTATTGGTGATGTTACCTACGGTCCTATGTTAGCCCACAAGGCCGAAGAAGAAGGTATCGCTGCTGCCGAATACATCAAGAACGGCCACGGTCACGTCAACTACGCCAACATTCCTTCTGTTATGTACACTCACCCAGAAGTTGCTTGGGTTGGTGCCAACGAGGAACAATTGAAGGAACAAGGAATCAAATACAAGGTCGGTAAGTTCCCATTCATTGCCAACTCTAGAGCTAAGACCAACTTGGATACCGATGGTTTCGTCAAGTTCATTGCTGATGCCGAAACCCAACGTGTCTTGGGTGTCCACATTATCGGTAGTAACGCCGGTGAAATGATCGCTGAAGCCGGTTTAGCCTTAGAATACGGTGCTTCTACCGAAGACGTCGCTAGAACCTGTCATGCTCACCCAACTTTATCTGAAGCATTCAAGGAAGCTGCTTTAGCCACTTTCGACAAGCCAATTAACTTCTAAGCCCGTCATCGATGTTTAGAATTTATTTATCCTAAAAATTAATCTTTTTATAAATTTTTCGTTTCTCCGAGATCTCGATCTCGAGGGCCTACAATATACAATATTTGATAGCTCAGTGTAAATCAATAAAAATACATTACTCTGTATAATCTATACATGTGGAAACAGATGTAGCACCAATTAGGACCTCGCCAGTCATTCGAGTTTCCAGTAGATTACCGGGATAAAAGCATCGCATAGCGCAACCATCACGAAAAATTGCTTGTCGCAACATTAACCGACCAAACCTCACCCGCCCTGTCCGTCGTCCTTTTCACCCATCGACTCCTCAATACCTCAATATCACGTACAACGCATGGATAATACCTGGAATATAACCTAAAATCGTCAAAACGATATTTATCCAGAATGACGATGCACATCCTCTTTCAAGGAACACTCCCAATGGAGGCAAGATGATCGCAACAATAATCTTGATGATATCTGAACATGTAAAAGCCATATTTCTAGTGTAGTTATCTCTGTTATATCAATTCGATTATAGCAATACAGTAGCAATCAAATAATAATCCAAATATAAAATAATTTTAGTAGTATCAATTATGAAGCAAACTATTATATTAACTCAATTGAAATCTGAATATCTACAAAATTGATTTCTGCTTCTACATCGGAATTTTCTACGCTTTTATATTGTTTGACTCGCATTGCTCTTATTGCTTGTTGCTCACATTGCTCTTATTGCTTGTTGCTCGTATTGTTTATTGCTCACGTAGCGTTCCTGAAACGACATCACCGGACGATGCCTTAGGACTCAGCCGTACTCCCAGAATTTTGGCTGTACCTGATCATTCCATCTGGCAACCTTGCTATAAATGTCATGTTTTTCGCATACTTTATTCGGGTACCGAATTTACTTAGTCCCTTCCACCGAACGTATGACCCACCATAGTTAACTTGGGAACACCGTTGCGATGTTGCACGATTTGCAGGTTTGGTGAAAAATTCGAAAATCGGCAAAAGTTACACAAAAGCGTTGAAAATGATTCACAACTAATTAATACCAGAAATATACAGCGAAGGAATCGACAAATAGTCCGGTTAGAGCACATAGAACACACGCAGGATATATATAAGAGTCAATAAAATATGTCAGACTTACAGTTGCAGATATTGAAGTCAGTTAACGAACATGATGGGATAGAAAGTACGTTAGAAGTCCCGGAATTTGCAAAAATTGATGCTAATACGCTTCACTCGAACTTGACGTCTCTCTGGGCGAAGGAAATGATCAATTTCAAGAAAATCGAGACGGACAAGTGGATTTTGACCAAGGAGGCCGAGGAGTTTCTTGGGGCCGGTTCGCACGAAATGAGGTTGTTGGAAGAGGTGATGAAGTCGCTCGATGGGTTGAAGATTTCGGACGTTAATGCCAAATTGGGGCAGGTTGGAAAGTTGGGCCAGGGTAAGGCGTTTAAGAACGGGTGGATTGGCAAGAACGACGATAAATTGGTGTCTAAGGTGGACAAGTTGCCGGAAGACACTGCAGTGAGCCAGTTAAAGACTATCAAGGAAACCGGTACTTTGGGTGACAAGAAGGAGTTGACTGAGTTGAAGAAGAGAAAGTTGGTCACGTTGACTAAGATTGTGGGCTTCAGCGTCACCAAGGCCGCTAAGTTCGGATTGGAGATTGTGACGATGGAAACCGATATCACCTCGGACATGATCACCAGTGGAAAGTGGAAGGATGCGCAATTCAAGCCATACAACTTCAACTCTGAAGGGGTGTACCCACACTCGGGTGCGCTCCATCCATTGATGAAGGTCAAGGAAGAATTTAGACAGATTTTCTTCTCGATGGGTTTCACCGAAATGCCATCGAACCAATATGTCGAGACCGGGTTCTGGAATTTCGATACGTTGTTCGTTCCTCAACAACATCCTGCTCGTGACTTGCAGGACACTTTCTACTTGAAGGATCCAGTCAAGGCCGGTAAACCCGACGACATGGAATACTGGGAAAATATTAGACAAGTGCATGAAGGAGGTAAATTCGGATCCATTGGTTACAGATACCCGTGGAGAGAAGAAGAGTCGTTAAGAATGGTATTAAGAACTCACACCACTGCTATTTCGGCAGCTATGTTACATAAATTAGCAAAAGATCCAAAGCCAACCAGATTATTCTCCATCGACAGAGTTTTCCGTAACGAAGCCGTCGATGCCACCCATTTGGCAGAATTCCATCAAGTCGAAGGTGTCATGGCCGGCTACGACATCACTTTAGGTGATTTAATTGGTTTCATGGAAGACTTCTTTGCCAAGATGGGTGTTAATGGTTTAAGATTTAAAGCTGCATACAATCCATATACCGAACCTTCATTGGAAATCTTCGCCTACCACAAGGGTTTGGGTAAATGGGTTGAAATTGGTAACTCGGGTATGTTCAGACCAGAAATGTTAGAACCAATGGGCTTACCAAAGAATTTGAGAGTTTTAGGTTGGGGTTTGTCTTTAGAGAGACCAACCATGATTAAGTACGGTGTTTCTAATATTAGGGAATTAGTAGGTCATAAGGTTTCCTTAGATTTTGTCGAAACTAATCCGGCTGCTAGATTAGATGAAGATTTGGTTTAACTATTTTGCACATATTTTAAATAGATGTAACCCTATTAGTGGGTTATGTATTCTCTTGAGTAGTACATTCATAATATAAATAATTTGTATAATTAGTACATTTGGGATACTGAAGAATTGATAGCTATAAATTTGGTTACTACACAAAATTCAAACGCGAGGAATATTAGTGAAATCGATATTTAGTGAAATATTAACGCATACATCCATCTATAACTAACTATGTCTGATATAAAGGTAGAAAAGGAAGAGGAAATACCGGTCAATGATAATGATTCGGTAAATTTGGAGCTGCAAGAGGACAAGAATACTGAGGTGGATGGTGAACATGAATATGAACATGAACATGAAGAAGAAAAAAAATCGGCTTCTAAGAATACAAATGACGATACCAATACCAGCGCTAATAACAATAATAGTAAGAAGAAGAAGAATAACAATATGTTTGTTTGTAAGTGGGTTGATTGTAAGAAGAGAAACTATCCTACGCTCACGTCATTAGTTACGCATCTAAGTTCCACTCATTTGGCTCACATAGCACATTTGAGTCCAAACACACCAATTCGATATACTTGCCATTGGGAAGGCTGCTCGCGATATGCAATGGAACAACCTTCCAGGTTTGCGTTGATTTCTCACTGTCGTACACACACGGGTGAAAAGCCATATTTTTGTCCGATTCCAGAATGTGAAAAGCATTTCACTCGTTCAGATGCGTTGGCGAAACATGTGAAGGGGGTACACGATTTGCATCTGGCCCGGGATGCGTTAGCATTGATTAAAGAAAGAATCAAGAAGGAAAAGATGGCGCCAATAACTTCCGATAACGATGATTTTGACGAATATGAATATTTGTCGGTGATCGACCAAGATTACGACTTAAGAAACCCATGGTGGTTCAACAAGAACTTTGTTAATACGCTTGCGAATAAGGATAATAGTATTAACGCCTTTTATGATCAACCACTTAATACACAACAATATAAATTGGCTAATGACAGGTATCATACGTATTTAGAGAATAATGATGATGAAATCATACCTTCTTTGGAAGAAAATGAGTATTTGGATTATATGTCACAATATAACGATGAGCTTCAAAAAGTTGCCAAATCAATAAGCTCTAGCTATATTGCGCCAGGAGATAGCAGTATGGATTTCGCAAATGCCGAAGAACTTGAAGACTTGAAAAAAATTCATAACAATTTAAAGAAGCAACTTGCTACTGCTACAAAGATCAATAAAACTGTGAGTAAACAATTATCCACGTCGGTTAAAGAAAAAAGAAGATTATGGTTAATGAACCAAATTCTACTTGATGGAAACGTAGTTATTGGGTTACCAGAAAAAGCCGACGCCGAAATGAATGATGAAGATACTAAAAAGGTCGTACTAGATAAATATGATGAAGAATTATTATCTGAATCGGTTAAAACATTACATTAGATGTATATAAATGAATATATTCACGATCATAGTTAACCACTATGTAGAGTCTGGACTTGCATATAAATATATTTTCAAAAAAAAAAAAATTCCTTCATAAACCTCATCTCTTTTATATAGTGAAAGGAATAAGAAGCAAAGAATAATAATCATATAACACATAACAGGATGGTAGCTCAAAATTTTCTGCATAAAGGAGACACTTCCGAAACAGAATTAATCTCTGGGACGGAATCATTCTCATCGGACCAAGGCCATAAAGACATTATAGATCCATCATTATCGTTGGAGCACTTGTTCTCTGAATTAAACCAACAATCTAAAAATGCAAATCAAGTGGTTGTAGATGAAGACGACGAGTTTAAGAAAATACAGAAGTCTATCTCGAAACTACCAAAACTTGAGTCAAATTTGGAAGAGAATTTAAATAAGGAAATAGCTACGACAAAAAAGATTAATGACATAACCAGAATAAACGATCCAATAATACATAAGCCAAAGAAAGCAGGTAAGGAAGAACAATTAGACTCTGGATCAAAGTGGTTTAATATGAAACAGCCAGAGTTGACTGCTAGCGTAAAGAGGGATTTGTCTATTATTAAACAAAGAAATGCATTGGATCCAAAGAGACATTATAAAAAGGACAAATGGGAAATCCCAAAATTCTTTCAAATGGGTACTGTTGTTGAAGGTAACACTGAGTTTTATTCTGCAAGGATGAACAGACGTGATAAAGGAAATACTTTGGTGGAAGAAGTCTTAAATGATAATGATAGAAAGAAATATTTCAGAAGAAAGTATACTGAAATTCAAGACAAGAAAACCAGTGGTGGTAAAAATCATTACAAGAAGGTTGAAAGTATGAGAAAGAAATATTAGTCAATTCCCATTTTGCATAACTAAATTAATATGAATTCATTAATCATGACTATATGGTATAAATATACAGAGTATTATTTAACAATTGTACAGTATTGTAAGATTATTCTTCTAAGCCAGCTCTTTTGAATACATCCAGTCTTACCAGTTCCCATAACTTCTTTTTCTCTTCTTTCGATAACTTCCCCTTTTTATCAGCCATCTTTAATGATTTCTTAATGCTGTCCGACTTAACTTTATATTCGTAAGCTGTTGTCGCAGCAGCAGCTAAGTTAATTAAATAGTTTCTTATAGCTATCTCTTTGAATTTGAATTTCAAAAAACTCTGATTGTCAGACGAGGTGATAGGTGACAGAATGCTCAGCTTGGGGGAGTTGATTTGTAGTAGACGCGATTGTTTGACAGATATTTCCGCCACTGATTTCTTAAACTGATAATCTAGATTGTGTTCCTGGTAAATATTCGAAGAAAACAACGTATATATCAATTCTTTGTCTGTAATATGCGGTTGAATTAGAACAAGATGGCACATGTTTGCTAAATCACCCACTATCTGTGGTAACGAGTGGGTGGAATAGTTGAAATCAGGTATTGACGATACCAACGGCAAATGAGTTAGTATCAACCTGCATCGCGTCACATTTAAATTCCAATCAATGAGCGACTCCGGGACATTCTGATACTGTAGCTGTGACCCAAGCGAAATCTTATATAAATCGTCACTATCATCCATATCATCTATACTTATCATCGACCCCCGGCGCATTTTCTCTTGCACCTGTTCCAAAAAATAAGTCTCATGCAACGCTATATCGTTGACGAGCTGCTCCACCGAAGTAGAAATGGGTTCCGAGTCCTCTGGTATCGTGGCTGTCGAACTCGAGTATATTGATGGAGCTGAACGCACAGACCGCTTGTTGGTAGAAAATACACTTGATGCCAGTGACCGTTGCAGTACGTGGTTATGTGAGTTCTTGAACTGTGACGGTGCCGATCGTATGGAAGCTGCACCCGTCGACGTTATCACCAGTGGTGACAACTGCAGGTAAATAGCATTTCTCGCAGAATCCTTGAAATGGGATGGTGGGGATGATATCCCTTGGCCGTTAGACCTAGCAAATGGTGATCCAAACATAGCTTTATATCCTGTTATTGATGCCAAATACTAATTAATCATGGTTAATTTACGACTGGGGTTACATTTTGGTGATAAAATTTTATTCCGGTCACGTGTTCACCCGCTTTTTGTTTGTTCCGTTATTCAACTTTACGGATTAATTGCCCCTTTAAGCCCCTGCCGATTTGCTTCCATTCGAAGGCTTTCCGTGCTAGCTTGACTGTCTGATTTGAATAGTGTATAACAATCGGGTCTTAATAATGACATTTGGCCGTATGTCGGGGACTTTATGGACCCGTTTTCGAATTCTCGTTGAATTGCGTAATTTAGACGTATTTTGTCTTGTGCCAGTGTCGAATCTTGTAGCAAACGATTATTCTGATTTCGTACCTTTTTCCTCCGTGCTGTATGACAACCAGATAGTTTGGTTATGGTATAGTTCATGATGAAGTAGGTTCATGTTTTCGTATGGGACCTGTATATAAACAGTGATTTTTTGCTGATGGATTTGTTTTTTTTGATCGCAGCGGTTAGTTAGTTAGTTAGTTAGTTAGTTAGTTAGTTATTAGAAGTTGTAGATAAATCATTGGATATTAGGACAATTGTCAACGGAAGATGACTGCCTTGCAAGAAACAAGTTCAGAAGACTTAGGTTTCAAGCTTTCGACTAAGTCGGAAGGTATTCGCCTTTTCAATGATACGATAGATTTTCTGGAGGGAGATAAAAATGATTTGAATCTATTATCAATTGGAAACTTGACGGGATATTTTGCATGTTCCAATATATCGTCCATAGTTTTGGATAAGCTCTCGTTGCTTGAGACGGGAGATGTTGCGGAGGGGCATGAAATCAGACGAATTGAAAACTTGACCAACGTATCGCAATTGGCGTTCAACTGCGATGAGTCGAAGCTTTATGCGGTCATAGACGGAGATTTGAAAGTGATTGATGTGAGTCAGTACGAAACATCCGAAGTGGGTCCTGAAATCATTAAGGAAATCGAAAATATTGAAGAAAGGTATATTCAGGGTGTCAAGGTTATTCACCCGTCGCCTGGATCGCCCGATTCGGTTGCATTAATTAATAATTCTGGTGAATTAATCTTGATTGATTCAGGAGTTGCAAATACATTGCAATCTGGTGTTTCTTCTTTTTGTTGGGCTAAAAATGGAGAAACGATATATTATGGCACTTCTTCATCTGCGGATGTAACAGCTGTGTCTGCGAATGGCGAAGTTCTTTTTAAAATCGAGAATTCTGCTGTATCTGACCCAGCGGAGGTTAGCTTAGTTAGTATCGCTGAGTTGGAGTCGAACTCTAAGTGGTTTGCTGTTTATGATAAGGGAGAAGGCGAACCAGATGACCACGAATACCAAATCTATATCATCGAAAAGGCTGATGACCATAAATATGAATTCTATGAAAGTGACATTGCACCACCTTTTGGGTCAGTGACCCGCTTTGGTACCTATTACTTGCTGTCTTTATCTAATTGGTCTTCTGGACAGACATTGGTATTTGTTACTTCGTCATTGGCAACTGAAGTCAGCACCCTTTTTATAAATGCCGAAGGAAAGATTGAATCTGTCACTCAATTAAATGACTCTGATAGAGCACAATTTCCCATTAACGATGATACTGGTGATGATGCATCGCCAATTGGTCTTGGTCTTGATTTGACTTGTCTAGAATCTGTTATCCCAGAACCATGTAGTGGAATTGACGAGGCGAAAGGTACTCTACCAAAGCTCTGGTGTTTAACCCATGAAGGAACATTAATAAGCTGGTGGGTTTTCGATGTCCACGGCTTGAAAAATGGTAAGGTAAATCTACAAAGAGCGTTCGATTATTTAAAACAGGAAATAGTTGGCTCTTTTAAACCATCTGAAAAAAAAGAAAATAATATCAACACGAAGTTTTTGAATCCCAATGAGTCCGCTACGTCTAGTGGTGAGAATCCAGAACAGCCTATAAATCAACCCTTATCTAATACGCCAAATGACAAAGCTGGCTTCGGTACATCGGCATTTGGTACTTCCAAGGTTGCATCCTCTTCATCAGGCGCTGCTTTTGGCTCAACTGGGTTTGGATCTAGCTCTTCTGGTTCTGGTACGGGTACTAGTACTGGATTTGGTTCAACCGGCTTTGGCTCATTTTCTAAGCCCTCTGAATCTTTTGGTTCAACCGGCTTTGGGGGATCGAAAAAATCATCTGAATCTGGGTTTGGCTCATCGGGCTTTGGTTCATCTAGTTTTGGTACTACCGGTTTTGGATCCAGCACTTCTGGATCAAAGAATGATAATAAGTTTGGAACTACCGGGTTTGGTTCAAGCACGGCAAGTTCGAACAATTTCAAGTCAGCGGGTGGATTTGGAAAGTATTCCAACAATAATACCAATTCACAAAATCAAAGTTCTCCGTTTTCGAGTTTAGGAAATAAAGAAAGCCCATTTGCTAGCGTTGATAAAGAAGAATCTCCATTTGCGAAATTTGGTAAGGGAGCTCAATCTACATCCGAAAATAAATCAGAGTCTCCGTTTGCTAAATTTGGTAAACTTACAACCGATAATAAAGCAGAATCTCCGTTTGCGAAAATTGGTAAGGAAGCTCATCCTACAGCCGAAAATAAAGCAGAGTCTCCATTTGCTAAATTTGGTAAACTTACAACCGATAATAAAGCAGAATCTCCGTTTGTTAACTTCGATAAAGAAGCTCAATCTACATCCGAAAATAAATCAGAGTCTCCATTTGCTAAACTTGGTGAGGAAACATCCACAAGTGAAAATAAAACAGAATCACCCTTTGCTAACTTCGATAAAGAAGCTCAACCTACAGCCGAAAATAAAACAGAGTCTCCATTTGCTAAATTTGATAAGGATGCTTCATCAGAAAATAAAGCAGAGTCGCCATTCGCTAAATTTGGTAAAGAAGCTCAACCTGCAACCGAAAATAAAACAGAATCTCCATTTGCGAAATTTGGTAAGCCAGATGCCACTTTTAACATAACTCAATCTTCTGATTCGAGTAACCAAAGTGTCACTTCTAATGAAGAGACTTCATCTGAAACTCCAATCGAAGAGGAAATTAAGGTTGAGACCCTGGATTTATTGTCGCCCCTGAATAATGAAATTATTGAAAGCAAAGATAAGGTCGCAAGTCATGTAGGTAATTATGAAGAAAAACAAGGATCATTATTCAAAAGTTTACAAAGAAATGCAATGGGAGCTGATAAGCAATCGGATTCTGAAACGTCAAGTCCAGAATCAAGTGAATCTGAATCTTCGGACGAATCAGATGATATTGCTGCATCGAAACCAAAAGATAATGTAACAAATCTTCTTGAATCCATGGATATAAAGTCCAATGATGAGCCATCTAAATCAGGACATTTACATGAGTCTACTACCAGAATTGACAGGACTGAGAACTCTGGTATTACGCCTTCTTCTGGTGCTAAGAAGCAAGACAGGATTGACTCAAACCAACAAACTTTGACTCCTCCTTCGCCTCTCGAGTTTTTAACATTTGACGGTATCCGGGGACCTGTTAAAAATGAATCCAACATCGTATCAAAAAAAATTGTTGATGTTTACAACGAAACGTGTGGTTATTTGATTATCATGGAGAAGAATGTACAAAGATTGAGTAAATTCATCGACGATCATAATACAACGGTGCATAGGCCCGATCCCAAAAGATCATTGGATACACCGAACTTATGGAGATTGGCATCTAGTACTGATTTAAATCATATTATTGATCAAGTTAAGCCTGTATTATCGAGTGTTTTAAATTCATCGCATGATTTAGATTCTTCCTTAACTAATTTAACCGCAAAAGTCGAAGAAAGCCAAGTACAAAGGGTCAAGATTGACAAATTGTTGACTCAGTTATCTCTTTTCAGCAAAGACTCAAACTCATTAGTACTAACAAAGCGCCCGTTGGATTTTCATAATGAATCATTGCAAATGTCTTTGCGCCAAAAATTAAGAAGAGTGAAAGACTTGGAAAATGAACTTATAAGTAAAATGATGCCTTTCAAGGCTAGATCGCGAGCAGACGAAAACATCTTAAGGAATTTAGAAAAGGTTATATTCCAAATGAATGAAAGCGCGTATGACCACTTGAAAGAAATCAATAGCTTGTCGGTGGAATTGTGTGATTTAAAATTACATAGCGAAAGCGATTCAGAAATACCGAAGAATAATCATAAACAGCAAAGCAAAATGGCTTCTGTTAAATGGATTTTAAGTAAGGAATTGAAGAATAATAACAATTCCTCTCCTAGACTTGTTAGTCTTCAAAGAAAATAATATATGTATTCGATGCATGTAAGTATATAGTACTGTTATATTTAATACCAACTTTTATATTTATTTTTGTATGGAAGCTTCCCGCGTTGATCGAAATCAAAACAAAAATTTAAAAAAACATATTGCAACTGCAACTGCGTATACTGAAAGATGGCAGACCATGTTGGTACGAAAGTGTCAATTCCAGGTACTAGAGGCCAAGGTATATTGAGATATTATGGACCTATTAATGGGAAGAACGGTATTTTTGGTGGAATTGAGCTAATAGGGCCCATTGCAGCAGCGAGAGGAAAGAACTCTGGATCTGTAAATGGTGTTCAATACTTCGAAGTTCAACAACCTATGACTGGTTTATTCTTACCATTCGAAAGGCTAAAGTCTGTCAATGCACATTTGTCAAATAAACTGAGATCAACGTCTAGTCTCCGTTCTAGTACACCGGTTGAAGTTGCATCTACTCCATCTCCGTTGAATCGAGGGCTAAATTCCCTGCTGTCAAGCGATAGCTCTATAACTAAAAATGGGATGATTCGCTCGCCCTATTCCGAAAAGCCATTAATAAATCCAAAACGACAGATTTTGAAAGACAACGGGAGCAATGCAATTCCAAAAGCGAAAAGTTTGTCTGAAAACTCAACATCATCCTTGGTATCAAATGCTGATACAGAATATATTGATTCCGTAAGACAGGATACAGATAAGATAAGGTTGGAGCAAGAATTGAAAGATTTGAAAGGAAGATATGAAAGTAATCAGTTAGAGATGACTGAAAAAATAAAGATATTGAATGACTTACGAAATACTGTCAATGAAATCCAACCTTTATTAGAAGAATATGAGAATGATTTGTCTGAAAAAGACAAAAAATTGCTTAAGCAAAAATCTGAGTTTGAGAAAGCTAGGGAAGAATGGAGACAGAGTTTAGATCTAATGGTCTCCACCCAACAAGAGAATGAAGAGTATTATGAACAGAAGATATCAGAATTAAATGCTAAAGTGGAGGACTTGTTAAAGAAGCAACCTAAGTTAAACGATGCAGAATTAAGCGGAAGTGATAAAAAACATCAATCCGAGGCTTTGCAAGCTTCCCTAGTTTCAAAGGATGAAGAGGTTTCAAAATTTAAAACAAAGCTCGAGGAGTTACATATGGAGAAATTTAAACTGGAGAAAAGTCTTAATGATAAGATAAATTCACAAAGAAAAGAAATCGACACTCTTACCGAAAATTTATCTAAACTCGAAGGAAAAAATAATAATAAATCAGGAGAACTACAAGTCAAATATGATTCTTTACTTGATCAAACAGAAATTATGAAAATTGAGCTTGAGAAATTTAAATCTTCGGAGACTTCATTAAAAGCTAGGTTAACAGACTTGCAATCTGATATTTCTCAAAAAGATAAATCCATCGAAAATCTAAAATCGAATAATTCAAAAGACGATAATGAATTGGGTTCATTGGTGCATCTGGTAAAATCAGTGAAATTAGATGACGACAATGAAGAAATTTTAAAATTAAAAGAAGAAAACCAGAAACTAAAGTCTGAAGTGGACTCAAAAGAAGCTATGCAAACTAAAATCAATGAATTAGAAAACCAATTGGAAATGAGGCCGACTTTTGAAGAATTGACTGATCTTCAGAATACCATAGACGAACTAGATGACTTACACAAAAATGAGCTCAAAGAAAAAAATGATGCATTAAAAGCTGCTATAGAGATGAAGAAAGATCTTCAATCACAGCTTAGTGATATGGTACAAAAAATTGAAAAAAAGAACAATGAACTGGCTGATCCTTTAGAGAAACCTGAAGTCAAAGGCAATCCAGACCCCAACGAATTACCTATTCACATTCCTAAACAACCCACTGACCCAAGTTCTGGTAAAAATGATTGGTGTGGACTCTGTGAAAGGGATGGACATAGCAGTATTAATTGTCCCTATGAGAATGATATGTTTTAATGTATGAGGCAATGTTGGTTAAATATTGAATTATAATATGCAGTATGGAATAATTGACTCATATATATTCTTAGGCATGAATAGTTGGATAGTCTATGTAAGGGTACATAATTGTTTCTGTATTTAATTATAACGTATAGATGCTGGATAAAAGAATATTCAAATAGGTGGATGTGTTCACAAATAAAAAGTTCAAAGGTAATCCGGTTGCTGTATTTTTCGATGCTGATGATTTGAAGTCTGATGAAATGCAAGCAATTGCAAAGTGGACTAATTTATCCGAAACTACATTTGTATTGAAAACTACTAATAAGGTTGCTGATTATAAGCTTCGTATTTTTACTCCTAAAAATGAACTCCCTTTTGCTGGACATCCGACAATTGGATCTTGTTTTGCATTAATTGAGAGTGGCCTTATTCAACCGAAAAGTGGAAAATTGATTCAGGAATGTGGTGCAGGACTCGTTGAAATCATGGTTGATGGTGATGTATCTACCCCAAATAATCTTATTCTTTCGTTCAAGTTGCCATATTTTCGTATAACTCCAATTGACACATCAGTTCACTTAAAACTTGAGAGTGCATTAAAAATTTCCACTGGTTTTTGCTCGAAAATTGCATCGCCCGTCCTTCTCGATGTTGGTCCTAAATGGCTTACAATCCAATTAGTTGAGGGAATTGATGTTATCAATTTAGAACCTAACTATACGGAAATTGCGAGATTATCCAATCTCCAAGGCTGGACTGGAATTGAAGTTTTCGGTATACATGACGATGGAACTTATGAATCAAGAAGTTTTGCTCCAGCTATAGGTGTAAATGAAGATCCAGCATGTGGTAGTGGCGCTGGAGCAATAGGTGTTTACTTAAGTCTGATTTCTGCCAAAGATACTAAATCTGCTGATATTAAACAAGGGTGTAAAATTGCTAGAGATGCAAAATTGCGTATTTCTATTGATAAAATCAATGATAAACCATCAATTTCAGTAGGTGGTCAAGCAGTTACTTGTATCGTTGGTAATTATGAGCCATAATCATTTTATATCTTTTGTAAAATCTTTTAAACTATATAAATAATCTTTAAAAATCTTAGTTGATTAATTTTCGTGAAACATATTTGTTACCTAAAATACCTATGTTATTAAATAAGTCTGTTCTTTAACAGTATTTACATCTAAGCGTACTTATCTTAATTTGTGCGTGGAGGTAGATTCCTGTCACCAATATGACCATGGCTTTCAGTATTAATATCCGCTTGATTTTCTCCTTCATCAAAGGTAATCCAATCAACAAACCCATCTTCAAATACCCCTTGTAACTTTTTCTCAACCTTAAACAAATTTCTTTCTTTATCGACTACTTCCTCGAATAATTCAAATTCGTCGTCTCTTAATAAGCATAAATCAAGTGTTTCCGACAATTTCTTCAGATTTATGTTTAAACCTATGAAGACTAATTCATTGCGCCTATCATCGTGCTTGCCTGTCATATCTGCTTGAATTAATTTTACAGCTTCTGGTGGATACATCTCCGGACCTGTAACGCCAAACCAAGGAATTCCACCTTTAATAGTTAACATTGGTCCTGCTGAAGACCATTCTCCCCTAATTATATATCTTGACGCCAACCAAAAGAAACCCTTGGAACGTAATAACGGGCCAAATGGTGACAGCTTTTTGTTTTTCAAAATCTGCTTCTCCGTTGGTTCAAAATATTCTTCTTCTTCTTCTTCTTCTTCTTCTTCAAGGCTCTCATCCTCCAGACTTTCGTTATCAGTTTCATTATTAATATCCTCTTCTCGTGCTTCGTCCTCTTCAAATCCAGATTGTTCTATAATGAAAAATTTATCTCTTATCATCTCGTAGAAACGCTTGGGATGAAATGGCCTTCGAGCATTATAGACAAAATTGTTGATTCCATATTCTTCAGTTTCTGGTTTTGGAGTTAAAGTTGTAGATTTTTTATCTCCAAAACCTTCTCTTGGGGTCATTTCATTGATACTTTGCAACCACCCTGCTGAAGTAGATGCCTTTTCAAAATCGTATTTCTTGGTGTTGATTACTTCACTAATGTCAATTTTGCAGTAATCAGCGTCCAAAATTTTGGCCACAGGATTCAATGATTTTATCATTTTTTCAATTTTTCTTTGCTGTCTTTTCTTTATGGTAGATATTTTGTTGATTATTATAACATCAGAAAATTCTATTTGATCAACCATTAAATCAGTGATTGTTCTTTCCTGTTCACCTTGGCCGTTATCACCATATCTATCAGCTAAGAATTGGGTTGTTTCAATATTTGGTAAGAAATTTAATGCATCGATAACAGTGACACAAGTGTCAAGTTTTGTTAATTTATTCAATCCCCCTAGATCAATTATGTCTCTAATAATTTTTTCATCTTCTTGTGGTAATGAACCCTCAGATTCTAATAACATCTCAGAAAACTCTGTAGTGAACGTTTCAGCTACCTGCATTGGTTCCGATATTCCAGTAGATTCAATGACTATGTATTGAATGTCACCATTTTTTGCCAACAGGATTAGTTCCTCTAATAAATCACCTCTCAACGTGCAACAAATGCAACCATTTTGCAACTGGATCAATTTTTCCTCTTTCCTATTAATGACATGATTTTTAATTAAAGCGGCATCTATATTCAATTTAGAGACATCGTTTATAATTACAGCAATTTTCAAAGAGTGATCGGTAGTAAGAATATGCTCAAGCAAAGTAGTTTTTCCGGAACCTAAAAATCCAGATAATAAAGTGATTGGAATTGGTCCTTCAATATTGTCTTTGGTAGGCTCTGGCATCTTGGCTTAAATGTTTACCTAAGATTTCTCTGTCCCTGAATACTCTCTTCTTTTATAATTCGAAGGTTTCAAATTAAACATACCTTTGAAGTTATATTTTGCAATTTTTATGCCCTAAAACCTCTATATTACTATTTCAGTAAGGTTGCAAGCTTACATACCTGATAATATGCGAAGTATTATAAAATGATTACAAACGAGAGTATTTTATTGGTTCACCCAGGTTTTACAATGATGGTTACTACTTTCCATTTCCTTCTTTTCAGTAACCACTACAGTAGACAAATTCTAACTTTAAAAATATATCCAATACTAGTCTGTATTACAAATTGGTCAAACAGTAAAATCTAATGTCATATGAAAAAATTTTGTAGACTGTTAATAAGACTTATTGAAGCATCGAAAAATAATAGTAATCTGGTTTTAAACAATTTCACTATTTTTGAAATGATTTATAAAAAAATGGATTAAAATGGATTAAAATGGCTTAAAAAATATTTGACCGTTCTTACTATCAATTAAAGCTATCTTTCTGGGATATGTTTTCATCTAACAATACAGCTTCTATTCCGATGATCAACATAATTTAGCAAGCTATTTGATTCTTTGTTTAAGTAGATTGACCATATTACTTAAGCGCACTTTTATTTGGAATTGGGTGCAAATGCCAAATTACGGTCAGACGACGCATTTTCGACCAGCAAGATTTATCGTAGCACCGCTAACTTCAGCCCAGAATATAATGTTGCGTGCTTTGCGATTCGAAATTTCTGGTAGAAGGTATGTCATATCAAACGTTAAGTATTATCGAATATAATCAAATGCACAGCTCTATATTTGTTTCTTATTCCATTGTTCCAATTGAAGGCTTAAGGCTCAGTCAATCGTCGATTAACTTTTCAATACCTGCAAGACCATACTTATACAGAGAAACGAATGACACAGAAATCTATTGTCTAATAAAAGTTTTCGTTAAAGTTCGCTATACTTCATTGTACATTCGTGTGGTAGGGTCCTTTATATGGAAATTTAGGTTGAGGGCTGTTATCTCAGAGACCTTAACCCCGCGAAATTTCACATATTGGTATTCCCTATTAGAAGGCTGGTGGTGTCTAATATACGGTCCGATCTGGTTAGGTGGCGCTTATTTGAACTCCGGTCTTCATAACTTATAAGACAATAAAGTTATCATCGTTAAAGAGTTCAATAGAAATGTTCCATAGAAGTGGCTTGCAAGCCTCAATTGTGTTTTCGATTTTAGATATTTTTAGAATGACCGGACATAATTGAAGATCTCCGTATCTGTTCTAACACATACTACTGTCATATGCCGTTAAATGATACATATATACTACTGTCAATACATAGCCTCTTGATCCAAGACTGCTTCCTTATGGATGTAGGGTGTATACACCGTGTAGTCATAAAATGATGAAGTTTTAGTCATCTTCGTAGTGATTACAATTCAGCCGCATGCATATATTATCTAATCGCAAATACGATAAGATTATGAATCCAGCACTATTTCAAACCTGTTAATAAACTATATACGACCAGAAATATATAAAAGTGTATCATATGCACCAATCTACATGAATGAGATAGTATTAACAAAGCACAATTAATAAAATGGGATTAAAAAACACAATTTCGTCGGACAATAGAAACATAAAGACTTTCATCAGTATATTTCCTAACATGGGTTTGAAGAAGAAGGTCAGACTAAAGAAAACGACTTCAATTTCTAGTGATAGCATTCCACATGAAGAGATTGTTAATACGCAACCTATATCGCTATCACGTAGTAGCCTGAGCTCAAGTTCCGCTTCAAGAACTAGAAGAAAGTTGAGTTCAGGCACCCATTCAATGCGGAAGGTAAATAGAAGCCAGGCTAAGAGGATTAGCTCTGGAAATATAATTAGTTCACTGCAGGCATTGAAAGGGATCAATGACAATCATTCTCCACTTGATGCTAATGGTATCTTGGGTAGCGAAGAGAAATTAGACAGTTATGCGATCTCGGTGACTAGTCTAATCGAAGATGAAACATCTCCATACAAGATAGATATAACCCTAGAAAACCTAACAAAAGGAAATAAATTAAGAAATATAGAAGGCTCTGGTAACAATAAAGCATTACAGTTAGATACCATACAGAATCCAGCTCATCATGGAGCTTCACATATATTTACAGAATTTAACTTTACAGTCTTGTTTAAGTTAATAATACATGTCATGTTTTATTTGTTCGTGCTTTATATTATACTGAAAAAGATTTCAGGTTGAGTATCAGATACACTTATTATCAGTTTAGCTAATTCTATTTTGATAGAATTTAGTTGCGAGAGGTAGTTAAGCATTATATTATACCAGGTTTAGAACTTAACTCGTTTTAATTAAATACGATTTAGCCTGTAAATATGGACCTACATTTCCTCTAAAATACCTTTCAATTAAAATTTTGTGCTCGATAACGTCATAATACGTTGAGCAAATATATGGCGATGTAGATACTTCGCATAAACCTGTCAGATGTACCCAAGTTGACAGTTGATCCGTTCTATGTTTATGTGATACAAATGTAATAATAGGAAACGATGAATACTTATAAATCGATGTACACTAATAGGTTCGGATCAATTACTAATTTTTTTCAGCACATGCATAATTTTGATCCTATTGTCTCGTCATAATGAATAAACATGAAATTCTATTGGGCCCCTTTTAATAATTATTATTTTTAGTCTTCTTGATTATAAAAGAATACCCAATGAATTGGTATATTATAATATTTATAGCGTACTTTGTACGGAAGCTTATTATTCTGTGTAAGAATTACTGGCTCGCAAGACAATGGGGGTGTAAACCTATGAAAGAATTTGGTGGCAGGTTCGGAATCACAAGTCTTATTAATGTTATCAAGGCAAGAAGAGAAGGGTTCTTGGTAGATTACCAAAAACAGAAGTACATCGAAACCGATACTGATACCATAAAATCTAGACTATTTCATAAACAACTTATTCATACAAAGAACGCCGAAAATGTTAAGGCTGTAGTTGCCACACAATACGATGATTTTAGTATCGGCAAAAGACATAAGTTTTTCAAACCATTATTAGGTAACGGAATTTTTGCGTCTGAAGGGGAAAGATGGCAACATTCTAGGACCATGTTGAGGCCTCAGTTTGCGAGGGAGCGAGTGGCACATGTTCAAGCGCTAGAACCACATCTTCAAGTATTTGCTAAACACGTACGTAAATCTGAAGGTGGCGTATTTAATATTCAGATCTTATTTCATAAGTTAACAATTGACGCAGCAACAGAGTTTTTATTTGGTGAATCAGTGGATTCATTGCGTGACGCATCGATTGGGTATGAATCGTTGCCTACGGATATTGACGGAAAAGCTGGCTTCGATGATGCGTTTAATATCTCTCAGAACTATATGATGCTGAGAGCTTTGGCACAGGATTTGTACTTTCTATTTGATTCAAAAGAATTTCGGGAAGCTAATAGAAAAATACATAAGTTTACCGGTCATTATGTACATAAGGCGTTGGAGACTACACAGGAAGAATTAGATGCCAAAAGCAGAGATGGCTACATTTTCTTATACGAATTAGTAAAACAAACAAGGGACCCAATTATTCTCCAGGACGAATTGCTCAGTATTATGTTAGCTGGTAGAAATACTACTGCAAGTCTTCTCTCGTTCCTTTTCTTTGAATTGGCAAGGAACCCTGAAATTTGGAGTAAATTAAAGCGTGAGATTTATGAGCACTTTGGAAAAGGAGACGATGTCAAACTTGACAAGATTACATTCGAGTCTATGAAAAAATGCACGTACTTGAAGTGGGTCATAAACGAAACTTTGAGAATGTATCCTTCTGTGCCCCAAAACTTTAGAGTTGCTAAAAAAGATACCACCTTACCTAGAGGTGGTGGTGAAGACCAACAGTCTCCTATATTTGTTCCCAAGGGACAGTTCGTTCTCTACACTACGTATAGTATGCACAGACTGGAAGTCTACTACGGCAAAGATGCGGATTTATATAGACCGGAAAGATGGGAAAACCTTAGAAATATAGGATGGGCCTACATGCCTTTTAGCAGTGGACCAAGAGTTTGTCTCGGTCAACAGTTCGCCTTGACCGAAGCATCCTATATAACGATCAGGCTCGCGCAGATGTTTCCAAACCTTGAATCCCATGATTCAAAGTATCCACCTCCCAAATTGACTAACTCGACAATGAGACATTTAGATGGCGTGTTTATTAGTTTGGATTAATGATTATGATGTTTCAATCGATTGTAGTTTAGTCTAGTAGTCCTCAGTCTTGTATCCCGTTTTCTACATGCATGCGCTTCTTTCCCGCTGTATGCGTCTTGTGACTATTTAATTGACCCCAATGACCATAATTATTGTCATTTTCACACTATTATGTGTGGATATTGCATTATCCTCGTATACTACATATAAAATGTTATCATTTATTACCTCCAACCACCATCTTGCAATACTTATACGGCGTAGTAGTATAACCAGACTTTGGCCGAGGTTAGCGTTCTATCAAGCAACTACATACAGGAAAGAACATATGCAAATTTCGGTGGCTCCAATACGTCCCTCGGACCTTACTTTATTGCATGAAAGAGGATTCCCTGGTCCTGAAGATTAACAGCTACAAGCCGGTGTCAAACGTAAAGACGAACACCTCAATCTGCTCAATAAGACAACTATGTGTATATAAATTGACGTTAAAGTATATAAGTCTATTTATTGTCGATTTTAATAAGCAATATGCTTTGAAAGCGACCTAAGTGCGAAAAATGCATGAGACGAACGTTAAAGCTCGGATCCCCTCTTCACATTGGAAATTATATAAAAGACTGGGGAAGTCCTTCGAGGGAGAAATTTGTTTGGATTAAGTTAAACTAAAGTAAAATATGTCAAGTGTTACGAAGAATGTTGAATTTTCTGAAGCACCCAATCCTGCTACATTGATTGGGGCTGAACGTGAAGCTGCTGTTTTTAACCCAGAAACCATGAACTATTTCTTGGAAGGATCCAAGGAAAAATCAGAAGAAGTGAAAAAATTTATCCAGCAAATGGAAAGAGATCCAATTTTAGCAGCTAGTCCCAAGGTCTATGATTTAACCAAAGAACAACAAAGAGAATTGACTGCACAGAAAATTAACAGAGTGGCCAGATACATTGAAGTAGGATCTTTTGATGAATTGGAAAGAAGGCTTTCTTTGATTAGTGTTTTTGACCCACAACTCCACACCAGAATAGGGGTTCATTTAGGGTTATTTTTGAGTTGTGTCAGAGGTAATGGTTCTTTTGAGCAATTGAACTACTGGGCATTGACTAAGGAAGCGGCGTACGTAAAGAATATCTACGGATGTTTTGCTATGACCGAAATAGCGCACGGGTCCAATGTTGCGGGCTTGGAAACTACAGCTACATTTAACGAAGAAAATGACGAGTTTGTTATTAATACTCCACACATTGGTGCTACCAAATGGTGGATTGGTGGTGCTGCTCATTCAGCGACCCATGCTGCTGTTTACGCCAGATTGATTGTCCACGGAAAAGACTATGGTGTTAAGACATTTGTTGTACCATTAAGAGACTCAAACCACGACTTAATGCCAGGCGTCAGTGTGGGTGATATTGGTGCAAAGATGGGTAGAGACGGTATTGATAATGGTTGGATCCAGTTCTCTGGTGTCAGAATCCCTAGATTTTTCATGTTACAGAAATTCACCAAAGTCACTGCCGAAGGAAAGGTTACTTTACCACCTAACAACCAATTATCTTATTCTGCTTTGCTTGGTGGTAGAGTTGTCATGGTTAAGGATGCCTTCAGATGGTCTTCCAGAGTAATTACTATTGCATTGAGATATGCCGTCGGCAGAAGACAATTCAAGGCATCTAAGGCTGGTGAAAACGATAAGGAAAACCAATTGTTGGACTACCCATTACATCAACGTCGTTTGATACCTTTGTTGGCTATGACATATGCGTTCTCCAACGGTTCCAACGTGTTGCAAGAGCTTTCCCACAAAACAATGGATGAATTAGACGACGCAGTATCCGAAGACGACAAGGCCGGTATTGACAAAGGTATCGAGGCAATGAAGTCCTTATTTGTGGCTTCTGGTTCCTTAAAGTCTACTTGTACGTGGTTGACCTTGAGCACTATTGATCAATGTAGACAAGCATGTGGTGGTCATGGTTACTCAGCTTATTCGGGGTTCGGTAAAATATACAATGATTGGGCTGTACAATGTACTTGGGAAGGTGACAATAACATCTTAGGAATGTCGATTGGTAAACAATTGGTTAAGAGTATTAGTAGTGTACTTCGTGACGGCCAAAAAGTAACTGGTATTCTCGAATTTTTGACTGATTCCAAGAAATATCTTAATAGGGATGTCATTCTTCAAAACGAAGACATGAATGACACTAGAAAGGTTTTACATGCAGTTGAAGTCGCAATTATTAGAGCTTCGAATCAAGCATTGTCAACTTTGGATGCCCACGGTGAAGACTGGGACTTCATTGGTGCAAACTTGGTGCAATTGTCAAAGTTATTGGCACATTTCTTTTTGTTGAAAGCTTTCCTTGATAAGGTTGACTCTATTGAAGAAAAGGAATTAGTACCTGTCTTAGACAAGCTTGCTCAATTATATTCTGCCACTTTAATTTTGGAAGAGTTTTCTGGTATCTTCTTGACATATTCTGTTGTTTCTACTGAATCAATTTCTATTTTGACTGATCAACATATTCCAAAGTTATGTAAAGATTTAAGACCACATGTTATTCCATTAACTGATTCTTTCCAATTATCTGATATGATGATCAATTCATCCTTAGGTAGTTATAATGGAGACATATATGAAAACTACTTTAAGATTGTTAAGGAGGCCAATCCACCTTTCAACCATAAAGCTCCATATTCGACTGACCTCGAAGCGATGTTGAACAGACCCTCACAGGAAGATAGACAAAGAAATGAATATTCGGATGAAGCTGAAGAAATTTTATCTAAATAATAAAGTATGCTTTATATGATTAAGAAATTATTTATTTGTATTATGTTTTAATTTTAAAAAATGTAGATTCATCGAATAATGGAGTATAGCACGAAATATGGCGATGAATTTGTAGTTTTATGTATTTGTTATAACATTCTACAATTAATTTTTTGAATCATCATACAAGATATCAGTTGTAGTAAAATATAAACACAGGACTATAGAACGAATATTTATTGAGC